ACTGTTTTACTTGTATTTTTCAAACATATATGTACTAAGAATAAATCAGTAGAGTAAAAATCTAAGTTGTTTATCATGTGAGAGCATACAAAAAATGTAGACAAAGTATCATTTTCTTTTCCAGAACTATTAAATGGTTATTGTGTAAATAGTTATGTGAAGAATCACATATAAGTTCTGTTGAGTTTTGTAAGGATACTGATGTTCTCTTGGGTGTTTAGTAAAGAAACTGGTATAAGTTCTTTTGGGTGTTTAGTAAAAATACTGTTGTAAGTTCTCTTGGGTGTTTAGTAAAGAAACTGGTACAAGTTCTCTTGGGTGTTTAGTGAAGAAACTGGTATAAGTTCTCTTGGGTGTTTAGTAAAGAAACTGGTATAAGTTCTCTTGGGTGTTTAGTAAAGAAACTGGTATAAGTTCTATTGGGTGTTTAGTAAAGATACTGATGTAAGTTCTCTTGGGTGTTTGGTAAAGAAACTGGTATAAGTTCTCTTGGGTGTTTAGTAAAGAAACTGGTATAAGTTCTCTTGGGTGTTTAGTAAAGAAACTGGTATAAGTTCTCTTGAGTGTTTAATAAAGAAACTGGTATAAGTTCTCTTGAGTGTTTAGTAAAGATACTGGTATAAGTTCTCTTGAGTGTTTAGTAAAGATACTGGTATAAGTTCTTTTGGGTGTTTAGTAAAGATACTGATGTAAGTTCTCTTGGGTGTTTAGTAAAGAAACTGGTACAAGTTCTCTTGGGTGTTTAGTAAAGAAACTGGTATAAGTTCTTTTGGGTGTTTAGTAAAGAAACTGGTATAAGTTCTTTTGGGTGTTTAGTAAAGATACTGATGTAAGTTCTCTTGGGTGTTTAGTGAAGAAACTGGTATAAGTTATCTTGAGCGTTCAGTAAAGAAACTGGTATAAGTTATCTTGAGTCGTTTAATAAAGAAACTGGTATAAGTTCTCTTGGGTGTTTAGTAAAGAAACTGGTATAAGTTCTCTTGGGTGTTTAGTAAAGAAACTGGTATAAGTTATCTTGAGTGTTTAATAAAGAAACTGGTATAAGCTCTCTTGAGTGTTTAGTAAAGATACTGATGTAAGTTCTTAAAATATGGTTTTGAAAATTGAACTTGAACATTGTCATGATTAGTATTCTATATGATCACTTAAGTCTATTTAATAATTTGTTGTTTACTTTTTTTTTTACCAGATACTAATTACTAACTAGTTTTTATCCAATGTTTTGGCTGCTAATCTGCTGTCATATTCAGGAAAGTCTTAAGTAGAATTCTGTTTGTGACGATAGTGGCTAAAATGTGATCCTGGGTCTTCTTGACAGAAACTAGTGTGCTATCCACTCATGTGGGATATTCTTCATTAAGACTAGAATTAACTAACTGAATAAAGATAAAAAAAAAAAGCCTTCTTCATCCAGTTATGTGATAACATATACAGTCAACCAAGCAGAGAAGTAAGCTAAACCTGGATATTTCTTTTGAAAGCATTAAAATAATTGATTCTTGTCCTAATGGATATTTTAGTGAAATTGACTTAATTATCTTTTCAACACTTCTTCACACCTTATATGATATCTTCTCTCACTGTAACTGAAAAATATAGAAGAAATGTACTATTAGTTACAGAGTAGTTGTACATTGGGAATTGGTCATAGATAAAACTGTTAAATTGTTAAAAAAATCACTTGTATTAACCCATTCGAGATGGGTCACAGGTGAAAGGCCATGTCATCTCATTTGTTGACTCGCATTCAAAATTTTATTGAACTACTATTTCATGAATTTATGTCAATAAGTTTGGTACCAAACTGTAGATTATAATTGAAATTTTAGAACTATACATTACTCAATTTGTTAATTTAAAAATAAATATAAAAAAAACCAGATAAAAATTGTTTTTCATGTGTGTCACGTGGTATGTTGAATGCAGCACTGGTTTAAATTAGATGTTTGTGAAGTCAAGATACCAAGTCTATAGTTTCATACGAATTAGAAACTCAAATTACAGATATTGACAAGCTAGAATATAAAATAAGGTCTTATCTTTTCTATTTGTTAAGGTATTGCTCACGTAATAAATAAAATATAGTGGCGCCCTGCTTACCTCTTTCCAATTTCGAAAATGCTCCATTATATACACTTATTTCTATATATGACAATTGGAAGCTCAGAATGTCTCCCTAGTGGTTTTCTCAGACTTTCTAACATACCTAGCACTATTTCTTTTTTGTAAGCCAAGATTTCAATGAGGTAGGTTGTGTCTTTAGTCTGCACGAAATTTAATTTTTTTTTTTTTACCCAAATACAGCTTAGTTACTACGTTTGATAAATAATAGTAGAATTCCATGGTATTGATGTAGTAATTTATGATTTTTTTAGTCATTCAAAAGTAAATACAAAACCTAAAAACATATTTTATTTCATGTACTCCACGTGCAAACTTTTTAAAGGCTTAGCAACCTACATCAAGCAACAACCGAGTATAAAGATAATTATTTGCTTTACTTCTTTATTTACTGTTCTATGTTTAAGGAAAAATAACTAAGAACTTATTTCAAAATAGCAATAATCTATATACATATATAATGTATAATAATTGAAATGTGACTGTATTTTACAAAATACAAGTCGACTAAAA